ATTGTTAGCATAGTCACCCTGCTGTATATGTACAAAATTCATTTCCTTCAGGGTCGTTGGACTGAAGACCCCCAGTTCCTTCCTGCCTGTTGCCTGGGCACTTGCTCAGTTTCTTGCCACATAGGAGCCTCTCCCAGGGCAGCTGCTTTATCAAAGCCAGGAAGGGGAGAGAGCTGGCTGCCAAGAAGGAAGTTACAGTTGCCTGTGACCTAAACCTGGACCAGACATCCCATTATCTGCTGCTGAAAGCAAGGCTCGCCCTGACTGGTGTGGCTCAGTGGGCTGGGCCTCAGTTCCCCGTCGGGACATGAGCCTGGGTTTCTGGCCAGGTTCCTGGGTCAGGGTGTGTGAGAGGCAACTGGTTGATGTTTCTCTCTCATATCAGCGTTTCTCTCCCTCTTTCTCCCTCCCTTCCCCTCTCTCTAAGAATGAATAAAATCTTAAAAAAAAAGCAAGGCTGTATGTCTAGCCCCCTCTCATAGGAAGGGATTATAGATTCTGCCTATCAAAGTTGTAATTTGTTATATTAAGCATAGAGCATATTATAAAAAACATACATAGTATTGAACATATATAAATATAATACACAAATTTACTATATCATGGGTGTTACATATTTTATATCATCTTTAATAATAATAAGCAAATGAAATGAAGAAAAACGCATTTCAGAAACACCCTTTCTTGTTGAGGATTTTCAAAGCTGTAAAAAAGATGACAAAGAATGAACAAAAATGAATATTGTGATTCATCCATCCTTTCTGAGCTTGGGTCTCCCTGGACAGAAATCAAATTGTGCAACAAAGATACCATTGATCAGGGGCCTCTGGCCTTTTCCAGCCCCAAGTTCTTGTTGTTGCTCTGTGGGTACCCGGACTGTCCCCCAGCACTGACAAAACTCAACTTTTTTGTCCCCACTTGCCTGTTCTTTGAATCTGGAAACCTGTGGTAGCAATGAAAGTTTGCGCTTTCATTCCTTTTCACTTCAGAGTTTTATTGCAAAGGCGGAAAGGAAATGCTGTTTGCCCGGGGTCCCCCCCTCTCTCTCCTTCAGCACCTCCTCTCCACAAAGGAGACAGGATTTCATAGCCAAGCACTCGAAGATGACACCTATGGATGTTAGGGGGTCGAGTTTCGATACCCTGCTCTTTAGTCCTCCTGTCTAGTGGGGTTCACGACCAGGAGGGCTGAGTACTACAGAAGGTGGGAAGGAAAATGAGGCACCTCTTTACTTAATGCTGGAAAACCCCCTAATCGAGCTCTGTTATAAAGGCTTCTTCGTTCCTTCTCTTCCTCCTCACTTTCTCCCTCCACCCTAGACTTGTTTTAGGCAGCCTGAAGAAAAATCTAGAGCCCACTAACCGGACAGCTGCCTGGTGGGGGGCAGAACAAAGAGAGAGGAGAATGCTGGGCTTGCAGCTAGAAAGCAGGCCCCGTCTCCAGTGTGGACCGCAGGGAGGTGGTGAGGTGGGGAACTACCCACACAATGTCCTGGGCATTCAACTCAGGTGGTACAATAATGTGACCCCCCCTCCCGCCCCCGCCCTGCTCCCTTGGTGCTGCGGGCTCTGACCAATACATTTATCAAGGGCCCTTCCTTAGGGAGGAGCAGTAGGGGTGGAGGGGAGGGAGTGAGGAGTGTTCTCTGCCTGTTGAAAATCTTTGTCTTTCCTAAGCACTGAGAAGGAGAGGATGGAAACCAACATGTGGGAGAATGGCAGGACCCTGGTGGCCGTGTGGGAGGTCCCGGCATGAAGTCTAGCTAGAGTCCCTCTGTGGCATTTTAGGGCAGAGATGGTCGTTGTCTGCATTAGGGTGGCAGCTGTGGAAAAGGCGGTGAGGGGATAGATTGGAGGTGTGAGTTGCATAGAAGTGGCCATGTCTCATGGCTATCAGGTATAGTTCGTTTATCTGTACCCTCGTTAACCTGGAAGTCTCCGAGTGGTCTGCTCCCAGGGCCTGGTGGGGGATCGCAGCCTGCCCCTCGCAGGTGTTAGAGGAGGTTGAATAAATGCACAGGTGTCTGCAATGTGCTGCAGTGGTGGTGACACATACGACAGAGTTTCCAAATCCGTAGCACACACAGTGCCTGCCTTGTGGGGATTACGGTTTAGACCTGGGAAGCCCCGGCTGGAGCTTCAAAGAAATGATTTCTTCCTAATTTTTCATTGACCATCCTAAAACGACACAGCCAAGCTATCCTGAGTGTGACTGTGTCTGGGTTGCACACACACACGTGTATCAGAGAACTTCCCAGGCAGCTTAGAGCTCCCTGCCCGGCTTTCCCGGTTGCCTGTGCAGACCAGGCCTGCGGAGCATGTTTGGGTGTGACTTGGCTGGTTAGGCAATGCCTCGCTAACTTTGGGTCACACACTTGTGGTTATCAGTTGTTGGATCCATTTCTTTTTGTTTCTCTCCTCTCCCTGTCCTGAAGGACTGGATCCGCTCTTAACGTGAGAAGTAAGCATGGAGACGCTTGGGGGTGATGATGACACGTTTCCTTAGAAAGGGTTTCTAGAGAATGTGCTTACCGCCACTGACCTGTACTCTCAAAACTGGTTTAAAGGATGAATCTTATGTTACGTATGTTTTGCTACAATAAAAAAGTGTTTCTGTAAGGTGCTTTCAGACTTTGCAATATTTTATATGCCCCTGTAATGGAGACATTAGATCATGGCCCTGCCACTTACCAGCTGAGCCTCGGTCTGCTCATCTGTAAGATGGGATGGTAATAGCTGCTTGACTAAGCACATAGTAGGTGCTTAGTTAGTGGTAACCACTTTATTGTTTTTGCTGTGAAAGATTTCTGATGAAAGTTTTGCCTTGGAGAGTTTGGAAATTTTCAAAAGAAACTGTATTAAATAAATTTTAGTATTAGCCAAAGCATTGATGCTACGATATTACAAAACCACAAAAAGGCCAATTAAGCACTTGCAAAGTCCCAAGAAATGGCCATTTACAAAACCACAGACATTTGGAAAAGAGGGAAAAATGTTTCACTCTGCAATTAAAAGGTTTTATAACTGAACATGCCTGTGCTTAAGTATACACAATGTTTTTTAATAGTCTAGTAATTTACCTCCCATCGGGGGCAGGTGCATTTTAGAAGGGATGGGAAAGCCTAAAGGAATAGATCCTCGTATATTCTACTTGTTATTATAATGTTTTTTTCTAATTATGGAAATAATTGTGGACAATAACAATGACTAAGGTCTGAGTACCAACCATAGGCTACACACTGAACCAAGCACGGAGGTGCATCCTCTCATTTAACATGATGCGTGGCAGTCGTTGGAATTTTGGAAAATGAATAAGTGTGTGTGTGGCGGGGGGTGAATAAATGGGACTATGATGCCTCATTTTCTCAAGAATATTATTGATTCTCATTAGCAGCTTGGTCGTGAATCTCACCTTCCAAGTTAATGTGTTTGGTTGTCATTAGAAATGCTAATGATCATGATTTAAATAACAATTTAATCTGTCCCCATAGTATGGGGAGGCCACAGTTTATGGCCACAGCTGCCAGTCACTGGACATCTGGGTAGTTTCTGGGTTTTACCATTTTCAGTAACACTGGACAAAATCCTCATAAATATTAGAACATATCCTAGGGGCACACGTAAGCTACAAAAATTTAGATGTCTGAGAGGTTAGATTTGGTACAAAGCATGCAACCAGCTCAGTGGTTCCACTCCAGGCAAACACCTGATTAAAACACATAACAAACTGTAACATGCAAGTATAGAAGTATAGAACATCTCTCTTTGGAAAGCAGTTGTTTTTGCTGCGAAGTTTCAATAATTATCATGCAAGTTATCCCATGTCTCGGGCCTTGAGCTTTCTCCTCTGTGGAGTAGAAATAACAGTAACACCCCCACCGAGGTGGTGGGGGAAGGTCAAGGGTCAGTGTTTGTAGAACATTTCAGGCAGGGCCTGGCGCGCCGGTAACACTGAATAAACTCGAGGCGCCGTTGTCGGCAGTGCATGCTTATATACAGAATGCCAGGCTGCAGGCCGGTCCTGGAGGACTCGCGTAAATGTTCTCCTAACACAAATGTAACTAAGGTTGTTCCTGCCACTTGGGTAGAGTCATTTTACACAGTGACACACTCACAAACACAAATTTTAGATATGGGCAGCGGGTGGTGGCAATTAGGAAAATTGGCTAGGGAGAGCTCTCAGAGTCCTTAGTGAAGTTTGAGGGTATAAGCTTGTATTTCATATATCGGAGTAAAGACTCAGAATAGTGGTGTTAGCAGAAACCTGATGTCTGTGGCAATGGGCTTTAAATTTTGCAAGCAATCCACAGTAAGAAATTCAATTCTGTTAAGAACCACAATGCAAATAACTGTGTGCTGGTTTGTAAAGCTGTCTCACCAACAAGCTCTTACTGTGCATGCTGTCCTGATGTCTTAAAATGTTTCATTTTATTTTCTTACTATTTTTTAAGATTTTATTTATTCATTTTTAAAGAGAGGGGAAGTGAAGGAGAAAGAGAGGGAGAGAAATATCAAAGTGTAGTTGCCTCTTATGTGCCCCCTACTGGGAACCTGGCCCACAACCCAGGTATGTGCCCTGATCGGGAATCAAACTGGCAACCCTTTGGTTCGTAGCCCGCGCTCAGTCCACTGAGCTATGCCAACCAGAGCTATAATGTTTCATTTTATTTTAATATTGGTTGTGAACCAGTTGATTTTGTTTACTGGAGACCCCTAGTTTGAAATACAACCTTAAAGTTTGTCTACCCCCTTTAACAGTTTCTTGAAGCTACAATTTTGTTGTTGTTGTTATTAATTCTCACCCAAGTGTATAATCAATGATGAACGGTTTTGTTCTTATTTACATGGTCATTTGAACATTGGGGTCCTTATTCAGACAGATATATATGTTGGTAAAATTATGTTCTGTTAAAAGGCCATTGTAAGCAGATGCAGGCAGAATTCCAACAAAAACTGGGTATGGGTCATAATTCACTTTGGTTTCTCTCTCTTTTAAACCAGGTAGTTCCCATTTACCAGCAGAATGAATACAGAAAGAGACTCAGAAATGACATTTGAGGAGGATTCTCAGCCTAATGATGAAGTGGTTCCCTACAGTGACGATGAAACAGAAGACGAACTTGAAGACCAGGGGCCTGCAGTTGAACCTGCGCAGAATCGAGTCAACAGAGAAGCAGAGGAAAAACGGGAGACATTCAGAAAAGGTAACCTCTCTGGGACCTGGAGACGGGGCACTGCCCTTGTCACCCTCACATGGGCGGTGCCAAGGGCTGCAAAGCCCGAATGGCCCGTGTTGGACGACCCAGGCAGCGTCTTCTTACTTCAAGATGCAGCTGGGAGAGTGGTTGACAGGCTTACACAAGCGTGCATCGTCCGCAGTAGGGCTGGTCTACCATACCTGGCAAGTTCTGCTCGGGAATAGAAGGTCTTTGCTCATGTCTGTGTTTTTAGAAGGGAGTTGTATGTGAAAGAATTTGCTTGTTACTGTATGCAGGAACCTTGGAGTTACCATACCTTTTGTTCTGTCATTAATGAATATAAAATGGTGTGAGCTCGTTCTAGGAAAATTTTTATGAGTCTGATTGCCATGTGGGGCCTTTTATATAGCAAACTTTGCCACCAACCCAGAATCCGAGAGGCTTCCAGGCAGGGTCTCGACCCAGTTGGCAAACTTTTTCTGTCAGGGGCCAGAGAATAAATATTTCGGGCTCCGTGGACAATGCTGTCTCCTGCCTCAATTACTCGGCTCCACTGATGTCTCTTGACAGTTTGTCATTTAGAGTAACAGAACACGGCTTACTGCCCTGGCTGGGTAGCTCGGTTGGTTGGACTGTCGTCTCGAGCACCAAAATGTTGCCAGTTCAATTCCCAGTCAGAGCACATACCTAGGCTGTGGGTTTGATCCCTGGTCAGGCTGCATACTGGAGGCAACCAGTTGATGTTTCTCCCTCACATCAATGTCTCTATCTCTCTCTCTCTCTCAGCCTCTTGCTCTATCTCAAATCAATAAACATAGTCTTCAGCAAGAATTTACAAAAAACAACTTAGTTTACTTTCACAATTACGCTTTTTCCCTGGTGGCTTTTCTACTTCATGTCCTGCAACCCCAGCTAACTAACTTTCCCATTCACAGAAATCTCCGTGAAACTGATCTGCTTCTGACTCTGCAGACACACCTCTCCACCCTGTCTATCAGAATGACCTCTGGCTTCATCTGGTTTCTTCAAAGCCTCTGTCACTGCCAGCCTGCCTTCCAAGGTCTCCCAAACGTATGCTTCCCTCCTCTCGCCTCCTGACCCCGCCCCTCCTTCCAGGGCTCTGCTGCCTGGTTAAAGTGGTCTTTTTGCAGTTTTCTCCCGGAGGAAAAAAGGACACTTATACAGCACTCCCCACCGCTCTGGTTGGATGGTGCCTCTCTTCAGTTCCTCTGTGTGGGGCGGGTCTCAATTCGAGGAAGTGCATGAGTTCTCCCAGGGCCCCTCCCACAACAGGCTCTGAAACCCGGGGAGGCCATTGACTTGTGTTGCCAGCTCTCGGCTTTCCATATCAAACATGTAGAATTTTTTGACCTTCTTGTGGACTTCTGGCTGTAATTTTAAGCTATTGAGCAATAAGCTCCACTGCCTTTTGCCTCTAAATAGAAGTCATGACAATCGGGCTGAATCAAAGTGGAATGGCTGCCAATCTGAACAGGAATGTGGCCCCTGTCCAAACAGGTCCAGACCAGATCTTGCGCACTGACAGGCTCGCAAGGAGTTCTAGCTGACTGCCCAAATAATGCAGACTGGGTTTCTTCCCCATTCCTTTCCCTCTGCACTAAGTTTCATATGGCAATCTTGGAATCTCTACCGTATGCAGCTATCTGATGAGCTAGCAGAGAGGTGGCCCAGTGGGGCGAAGGGTGAGCCTGGTTGTCGTTGCTTGTGTCACTCTATCAGATGTGTGGCTAAGGACACAGCAAAGGGGCTAGGGCCGGGTGCCTGCAGAAATGTCACACAAGCACGTAGTGTGTGGCAACTCTCACCTCTGTTCTTTTCCAACTCTGTCTCCCCATTCTGGTGCTCAGGGCTCTTTCCTGAGGGCTTGGTTGGCAGATCACATTTCTTATCAATTTCTACCCTCAGGATGCAGCCCCCTAGGGCGCTCAGGCTTGATCTGCTCCCTTCATAGTCTTTTCTCTGATAGTGGCTTATCTTTCTAGAAGAATTCAGTGGTTCTCATTTCTCAAAACCCCTGTCAAATGACTTTGCTTGTGACTTCTAAACATATTGTCCTAACACCTCCATCTGCCCTTCCCAACTACACAGAGGACATTCGGTACGTGCTAACCCTCTCCCCTCCCGCCCTACTTCTGCCTGGAGCCCCACCCCCCACCCTCCCCTCCTTTCTCTCTCCCTCTTCCTCTAAATCCCTCTTTCCACATTTTTTTTTCTCCCCATATTCTCACTTGGGCATTTTCCCAATTAAAAAAAAATGATTCAGCCTTGGCTGGTGTAGCTCAATGGATTGAGTACGGGCCTGCGAACCACACGATCGCGGTTCGATTCCCAGTCAGGGCACATGTCTGGGTTGCAGGCCGGTTCCCTGCAGGCCAGTTCCCAGCAGGGGATGCACAAAAGGCAACCATACATTGATGTTTCTCTCCCTCTCTCCTCCCCCCCCTTCCCCTCTAAAGATAAATAAATAAAATCTTAAAAAAAATGATTCAACTTATTTATTTTTAGAGACAGGGGAAGGGAGGGAGAGAGAAAGAGAGAGAGACACTGATGTGAAGGAGAAACATCAATCAGTTGCCCTGACCAAGAATCAAACTCGCAACCTTTTGGTCTGTGGGACGATGCCCAACTATCTAAGGCACACCAGTCAGGGTGGCATTTTCCCCATTAAAGTCAGTGTCACTCTGACCTTTCAACCATCATCTCTCTGTCTTCACATTTTACATGAAGGACACTTTTCTTCCATGAATTCGGTTTTTCAGGACACCAGAGCGTGAGTCGCTCCGTGAAGTGCTGTCAGGCCAAGTAACACCAGGGTCAGTGTCCACTGTGGCAGAGAAGGACCCGCGTCCATTTCTCTAACAGGGTCGTCTTAGGGCAGAGCATGGATTCTCCTTTTCTGAAACGTGCCCGAGCCCAACCGAGCTTTTAGTGTTAAGCAAGTGTTTTGAGAGACCCGTCGAGACTGCTTTTTGGTTGGAGGACATTCGTGGAGTGCTGTGAGACTAAAGAATAAGTGCCAACACGCTGTTCCCATGTGCTGTGGAGGAAGAGATAAGCCCACAGATGTGACTGGGGAACTTTACCTTTCGCTTACTCTGAGCAAGGACTGGCAGGACTGGGTGGGGATGTTGTCCACGCTGTGGGCTGAACATTCTCTTCGCATGGGGAACACACTAGAACAGAAGAGTGTTTATTTCCTAAAGCGCATCCTGGGAAACACTAGTCCCACCGAATGCTTCAGGACACAAAGATTCTGTGGTGCCCATGACCAGAAACTCAGAATTCTTTATCTTTGTCACGGAATTTAAGGTTGTCCATTGGCATACAAGGGTCCAAGAAGTTTTGGCTTGAAAGAAACCAGTTTAAGTCCATTCAGTCACAGCATCCTTAAATTCCTTGCCTGGTTGGTTGGTTTTCTTAGTTTACCATCTTGGTGTCACTAGGTCAGCTCCTTGGGTAAGTCTGTGCCAGTGAGGAACCAGCCTAGGGATGAGGTCCTGGGAAGAATCCGGAGTGCTCTGGAGGGGGTTCCCGGTTGGTGCAAACGGGCTCTTTCTTCTGAGCCCAGGTTGGGATGCACACCTCTCCCGCCTTCTCAGCTGCTTTATTAATGAACTGTCCCATTCCCTCGCTCTGCCTGGCTTACAGATACACCCACCGCTTCCCCGTCCACAGCAAATTCTTACCTGAATATGCTTTCTGCCTCGGGCTGGGGTCTGGTCACCTCAGGCTCTCCTGTCCTCTTGGCTTCTTCCCCTCCATGAGCTGCCTGCTGCTCTATGGATAACACTTTTCTTTTCTTATTTTTTCAATTAATGTGTGTATGTGTGTGAAAGAGACAGAGAGAGAGAGAGAGACAGAGAGAGAGAGGTTGTTCCACTTACTTATGCATTCACTGGTTGAATCTTGTGTGTGCCCTGACCAGGGATTGAACCCACAGCCTTGGCATATGAGGACGATGCTCTAAACAACTGAGCTACCTCACCATGGCTGAATAACATTTTCTTAAAGGTCACCAAGAACCCAGTGTCAAGTCCAGTGAGCCTTTTATCAACCACCTTCTCCCGACCTCTGTTTTCTCTGACGTGCTTGACCTTTTAACACCTCTCCTCCAGGAAACACTGACCTCCTTGGAAGGGGACCCCTGTTACACTCCTATTTCTCCTCTGCTCCCCATTTTAAAATGTTCACATTTCCGTTTGTGCTCTGTTCTCTCACTGCAGGCCTTCCTTTGGCAGGCCAATCCCTTTAATCTGCTTCAGGTACCACACCTTTTTGTGTGACTCTGAGACACAACATGCGTGATGGTGAAGAGTGAGGTCCCCGGGTTCAGGCTGTGGCCTTCAGTCTTGGCTTCACCTCTTTCTGGTTGTATGACCTTGAGGACAGGGCTGTTTCTCTCTGTGCCTCAGTGTCCGCATCTATAAGATGGGCATATTATTAGTTAATGTTATACTGGGTGGCTGTGAGTATTAAATCAGAAAATAGGTATAAAGGACTTAGACTGGCTTTAAGAAAGTACTCAGTGAATATTAACTATTATCACGCCCCCCACATACCAGTTCCCCCCTTCACATCTTTCACAACAAACCTAACGTGTCTACCCTCACCCCTCATCTATCTCATTTTTCAATCATCAAACCTTTTTGGCCCCTCTACTTCCCTTTTGGGTAGTCCCATTCTCCCGGGCATCCCCAGGCTGAAGCTGCAGCAGTAATTCTGCTCAATGGATCCTTCTCTCCCCAAATCCAAGTGCTATGAGTGGATGAAGAGACAAATGGAGTTTGAAGTTCGTTTGCCCAGCAGTGACTTTGCCCACACATTGAGGAAAATGTTGCTGATTTAGTGTCATTCCTGCCTCTGCCATCTTACCTGCCTTTCCCACTAGTTTGGCTTCTCTCTGTTTGCAGGACAGTGGGCACTTCTGCTGACCCTTGGGCTTCCCTATGCCTGGTGATTTGTCAGATAAAATCTTTGACCGGGTC